AGCTTCCTCATCCCAGACAAAAATTAATAATTCAGACACTCGACAGAAGACAAGGAATCAACAATTCGAAAGATCGAAGGCAGCATTTATCGCAACAAACTCTAAAGAGACAACTTGCCTGCACTGTGGTTCAAAGGACCATTCCATTACATCTTGCCCAAAATTCCAAACGTTGACTGCTCTTCAGAGATTCGAATACGCGAAACCGGTTTCCTTGTGCATAAATTGCTTGCGCAAGGGACATACCGTCTCAAGGTGCAAATCAGATCGCTGTCGCGTGTGCAATCGGTCACACCATACTATGCTGCACCAATACCCGATCTCTTTTGAGACTGAGCGTCAACCTCCGACGACACAGGCGATGCATACTAGCAGTGTGCCAGATCGCGTCATGCTAGCCACAGCCGTAGTGTACGTAAATTGCTGCTCCGGTAGTTATGTGTCAGCTCGCGCTCTGCTTGACTCTGGGTCCCAATTCAATTTTATGACCGAGGAGCTGGCACAAAAATTGCGAATACGAAGAGAGAAGTCGACTCTGAATGTAATTGGAATTGGCAATTCGAATAAAAAGGTCCAAGGCAAATTAAATGCTTTCGTAAAATCGAGGGTCAATGATTTTGAATTTTCAACAGATTTTTGGGTAATGGGTTCGATATCAGCCAATCACCCAGATCACACAGTGAACACAAATGGCTGGAAAATCCCACAAAATCTCGAATTGGCTGACCCAAACTTCTTCAAGTGTCAAAAAATCGACATATTATTGGGAGCTGAAACATTCTTTGATCTGTTATCGGTGGGTCAGATCAAAACAAGTCCAAGGCAGCCAACGCTGCAAAAAACATTTTTAGGCTGGATAATATCGGGCAAATATGCCTCAAGTCAAAGCTCCAGTGGACAAGTAAGTAGCACATTATGTAAAGCCGAAGAAAATATGGAAAATATCGATGCCACCGTCCAGAAATTTTGGGCGCTGGAAGAACTACCCTCGGAGGCAAACGTCAAAAGACTAACTCCTGAACAAGCTGAATGCGAGCAGGTATTTTCGAAAACCACGGTTGTTTTGCCAGATGGAAGGCTTCAAGTCAGATTGCCTTTTAAGAATGATCGTAAGTTACTCGGTCATTTGTATGAAACCGCAGCTCGGCGGTTTCAGGCGCTGGAGAGAAGGACTCTGAAAGATCCAGAACTTCGCAAAATGTATCTGGACTTCATGAAAGAGTACCTAGAATTGGGCCATATGAGCCCCACAAACAGAATCCCGAGTGAGCCGCATTATTTCACTCCGCATCAGTGTGTGTTAAGACCGCAAAGCACGACTACAAAGTTGCGCGTAGTTTTTGACGCTTCAAGCCGTACATCCACACAAGTTGCGTTGAATGACATCTTAATGGTCGGACCGACCGTTCAAGAAGAGCTTTTTTCGACACTCCTCCGCTTCCGATTGCACAAATATGCCATTACTGCCGACGTCACAAAGATGTATCGACAGATTTCAGTGCACGAAGATGATAGGAACTTTCAGCTCATAGTGTGGAGACCAGATCCATCAGAGCATTTGCAAGTCTTTCGTTTAAATACCGTGACTTACGGCACTGCGCCTGCACCATTTCTCGCTACACGGTGTCTTCAAATGCTAAGCGACATGAACCTATCGAAATATCCACTCGGTGCCAAAGTCATTCGAAATGATTTTTATGTCGACGACCTGCTGACAGGATCCGACGATTTGAAATCCCTCATTCAAATTCAAACTGAGGTGAATAAAATTCTAGAATCGCCAGGCCTCAAACTAGCAAAGTGGTTTTCCAATCACCCTAACCGGTCGAACAGCGAGAGTCATAAGAAGTTATTGCAACTCAGCGACACAGACTCTACAAAAACGCTGGGAATTCACTGGCAGCCGAAAGATGACATTTTTCGCTTCATTCTGGAGGACAACTTTAGTGAACTGCGAGCAACCAAACGAAACATTTTATCGGTCTCTGCTCGCCTCTTTGACCCTCTTGGTTTATTAGCCCCACTAGTTACCAAAGCCAAAATCTTACTGCAAGAGCTTTGGATTCAAAAGCTAGATTGGGATGAGTCGATTCCATTGCGCCTCGACACTAGCTGGCAAAACTTTAAAGTAAACTTACTGCAGCTTCCATCAATCAGCATTCCCCGGTATGTAAATACTGGGTCGACTGCCAGCTGCCAAGTTCATGGATTTTCCGACGCCTCAATAAGAGCGTACGGCTGCTGCGTATATATTCGTAGCCAAACCGCTAGTGGTACGAGATGTACGCTACTTACTGCAAAGTCTAGAGTAGCTCCGCTGAAGACTAAATCTCTTCCGCGTTTAGAGCTCTCGGCAGCACATCTTCTGGCCAAATTATGGTCAAGAATTTCGCCAATGTTGAGTCGACCGATAGAAAAAGTCAATTTCTGGACAGATTCCGAAATAGTTTTGCACTGGATCAAAACGCATCCATCTGCGCTGCAAACTTTCGTCGCAAACAGAGTGTCCGAAATCCAAGAGTGGACCCAGAATGCATCATGGCGACATGTGCCAACAAAACAAAACCCAGCGGATCAAGTGTCTCGGGGTTGTAACGTGG